AAAAAAAAAATACAGCATGTAAATAGGCAATCAAATGCATTACAAAAATACAGGGCGGGAAACTAAATGTATTTGGTGCGCCGGACGCCGCTATGATTGCATAGGGGTAAAAGGGCGCACGTACGGGAGGGAGCAGCCTGTAGACGCGGCGCCGTCTCTGAATGGCTGCTCTCAGAGTCCGTCGGTGGGCCTTTCGAGCGCACTCGCGTGTGTCCGGCCGACGGCGTAGCTGGCTGACTATGGTTGGCAACACTAAATGCCGATGGATCACGCGCCAGTGTTGTCAGCAAGTGTGCAGCGCCACCGTTGGTCGAACACGTGCTCAAACGCACACGCGCGCGCGCTCGGATGGCCCACTGGCGGACACTGAAAGCAGCCAATAGCAGAAACAGTGGGAAATCGCACAATAAGAATGATTGGTAAAAGTTAGGTAGCTTTGAAAAAATATGGAGACGGTTAGGGGCACTAGGAGTACGCCATTCTATCTGTCACGTACAGCAAGTGGGAAAAATGTAGTGACCCTGCATCTGCACTGAATAGGCGCGTTTAGAGTTTGCGCGGCTGCGCTGCAGAAGTGCGCATTGCGTTCACCGCACCACCTCGCTGTCAATCGATACCGATAGCTTTGCATCATAACTAGGGCAACGGCAGTTCGCTAGAGCCCTCACTAAGTTACGCGGCCTCATATACGGCCTATACAATTTCGTTCTTTACTTTTTCTCTAGATACAACAGTTATGCCAAAAACCCACTCTTCAGTGTCATCTGCCTGCGAATTGTACTTTTGATCCTCGAGTGCTTCCTCGCGACTATCCATCTGAAACATCAAAGTTGTCTGCAAGCTAATAAGCTCTAAGTTAACAAAGAAGCTTACATCACGTCCGGGCATTGCTTCTTGACCAAAGTTCTTTGCCTTTTTGGTAGATCTGAAAAGGGACTAGAGAATTATGTAGCATTGAAAAAAGTGAAGCGTAAAAAAACCACAGCACGTAAACAGACAATCAGTTTGCGTTACAAAAATACAAGGCGGAAATCTAAATGCATGCGGTGCGCCGGTCGCCATTACGGCTACATAGAGGTGTTAGGGGGGTGCAACACTGGAGAATCGTACAACAATAATAAATGATGTAAGTTTGGTAACTTGTAAGAATATAAAGTAAGTTAGAGTCATTTGGCGCACGTCATTCTATCTGTCACGTGTCGTAAGTGATGGGGTATACGATGGGGAAATGATGCGACGCGGCCTACCTATTGGCGGGGTATGGGTGCATTTAGAGTTGGCGTTCCCACGCAGCAAGGACATGCGCCGTCTGCCACCTGCAAATCGATATCGACTACCCTAGCTTCTTGGTTACGACGGCGGCATTTAATGGATTCGGTAGAGGGGTAACACGTCCTATATCCGCCCGTGCGACTTCGTTCCTCCTTTATCAACTAGATACCACAATTACGTCAGAACAAGACCCACCCTTCAGTGTCGTCTGCCTGCGAGCTGTCCTTTCGATCTCCGTGACAATCCATCTGAAACATTAGAATTAACTGCGGGACTAGCTAGCTCTATTTCACGAAGAAGCTTACATTAAGTACTGGGAGAGGTTTTTGGCTAGTATTCGTTGCCTTTTCAGTAAAAAAATGTCTGAAAATTTTGCAGCAATGAAAAAGTGTAGCGTAGAAAAAACACGTCATGTAAACAGATAATCTTTTTGCGATGCAAAAATCTGAGGTGAAATCAATATGCTGGTGGTGCGCTGGCCGGCAGCAATGACTGCAAATAGGTGGAAAGGCGCGCGTACGTGAGGGCCGCGCGCGTAACCCCGCCGCCGACTATGAATGGCATTAGGCACTGCGAACTTGCGCACTAATGATTGATGGAAATCACCCAACTTTGTAGAAATACGAAGAAAACGAGAGAAGTTCGGCACACGCCATTCTATCTGCCGTGTATCACGAGCTGTAGAGTATAAGATGGGAAATGAAGTGACGCTAGTTACACACCAGCGGTATATGGGTGCATACAGAGTTCGCGTCGCCACACTGCAGATGTGCGCGTTGTTTTTATCATGGTACGTATAGAGGAGATTGATAACGGTAACTTCAGATTCATAGGTAAAGTTGGTGCAGAATTCTACTTCGCTTTAACTTCAAAGTTGATGTGATCGGTATCGAATCGCACCTGATTTGCTGTTTCTCAGGAGTACGTAGCACAGTTATTGTCCAATTAGCAGTGTCGTCCTTCTCTTGCCATCCAGGTTCGTCCGTGGGAAAGAAGCTCCCCTAAAATTTTGAAATGAACTCTAAAATTTTTTAGTTAAATCTTCTCAAGAAAAGCCTACATCAACGAAAGGAAGGATGAATATTTCGTCGCTATTTTTAGCCATTTCAGAACAGGTGGAGAGACACGCCCTGTAAAAAGACTAGCGTAAGGAACACAGCATGTAAGCAGGCATCCTATTTAAAATACAATAAAATATGAGGCGAAATTTTAAATGTGTGTGGTGCGCTGGCCTCTGCAACGGTGCGCAGCGATGGATGGCGCGCGTATGTGAGGGTCTTACCAGGGGTAACGGAACTTCTCCNGCATTCTCCCTTGCGGCATGCGGCAAATGTCACTGCAGTTACCGTACTCACCCCGCCTCCCCCCAATCGATAGGACGCGACATTTTTCGTTGATTGCCTTGCTTTTTTATAGGATTTGATCATTTTTTCTTCTGTTTCTTTTTCGTTTTCATGTTTATTTAACTTGATTAATTAAAATGACTCCTCCTATGTAAGCGGCGATCAAGACTGCATTGAAATTGAAGAAAGTGGTCAGCCAATTCAAATAATTAAAGGACTCAAACCCCACAAATTGCGCGCTCCAATATTCCATCGCAATCCTGCAATACGCGGCGGGTGCGGCGTGTGCGACGTCGTGACAAGGGAGAAGTTCCCGGACCCGTCTTACCAGTAGTCGAAGTGCCGTTCCTGAATGAGCGCAAAGACGAAAATGGGAAAGCGAGAAAGTATGAAATGAGTTTACTAATGAAGTGGTGTTATCTGGCAGTATGAAAGACTAGGATGTAAATAGTGGGCATAATTCTACTATATACAGGGTGCGCCATAAACATGTTAACAACTTCACAGAAGTTCGCAACTTCCTTGCTCAGAGGATTTTCCGAATCTGCACCTTCTGTCATGTTGATCGTATACCTTAGCTCACATATCTGCTTTGGTGCTCTCATTTCGTAAGTTTTAAAAAAATGCTTAAGCCTCCTATTAATACATATAGCAGCCGTCATTTGGTGAATCCTTTCCCCGAGATAGCTTGTCGTTTCGACATCCCTCGCATGGCAGAACTGAATCGCGATGCGTGGGCTGGACAACGACAAGCCTCAAGATGGGGGG